TTGCATATTTATCTATTAAACTTTCTTTACATAATTATTAACTATCACCATTAAATTTTACGCCCACAATTTATGCATATTCAAGACTTAATATGTAGCTTTAATTTATTTTATACTGATTAAAACTTATAACATCGCATTCAAACTATAACATAATCTTTAATTAGGGATTATACAAAATAATGACATTGTATCTAAACAATAATACAGTTTTTAATCAAAGACGATTCATAAATTATAATTGTGTATTTACAATGTAGCATCACTTTTAATTAAGAACTATACAAAAGCAATATCTTTGCATCTACACAATCGCTTCGCATTTAAACAATAGCTTCGCATTCAAACAATGGCTTTACATCTTAACAATGATAAGTTTTTAATCAAAGATTATTCCAAAATAATAACTTTATATTCAACAATTACATAGCATTTAAGGCTTTATCTTTTACTAGAGGCTTTATTCTTTATAGAGAGATTTAACTTTTGTTAGAAATTTTGCCATTTATAAGAAATTAGTCTTTATAGAAGTTTCGCAGGTTTCACAGGTGCCCTTCATGAGCGTGCTTTACACTTATTGATAGCTGGCGGTTCTTTTTAATTCATTTTACTATTTATTATTTATGCTATTATTTAAACTATGTACTAGTTAGCGAACGATTTGGTTAATAAAGGTTATTATATTAATACATATTTAATGAATTGTTAAGCTTAAAGGTATTATTCTTTTGATTAAGTTTGACCGAATACGTATTTGATAATGACTATTTGGATCCAAGCGTTAAGAATTATTTTTGTCTAAAACTTTTTTGCTTTGATCTAATTTTCTATTAACCAATCAGATTTTGCAACTTCACAATATGATTCACAAAAACTAGGCAATCAGAATAAACGTTCATAGGAGGAAATTCATCTGATTGGTTGATATAAATCAATTGCCCGGGTAACTTCTTGATATGTTTAAAGCATGTTTTAAGAACATGACGTTTCACTAACAAAAATTCGTCGCAAACACTATTGACAGCTCTAGAAGAACGTTTTTATTACTATGCAAAATAATCCCAAAACTGAAAAACTTTACTTAGAAAACAAAATATTCTTGTCGTTTGTAGGACCATGCCAAATTACATTTAGAATGAGGTAGCTAAAAACGTTTTTGTTCAAAACTGCCTTACTATGTCAGATTTGAATAAACTTTTATTATTAACTATTTGGTTTTAATAGAAATAAGCTTATAATAGAAGAGGGTTCAGGTTTAATACTTGACTATGTTCTGTTTTGTAGTATGTTTGGTTTATTGATCGTTAATAGGATTTGGTTTATAGATTGAATTAGTGATACAATTCGATTTTTCCCAACGAATCGATTAATCGATTAGTCGATTGATCGATTAGTCGATTAATCGATTAATCGATTATTAGTCGATTAATCGATTAGTCGATTAATCGACCAATCGACCAATCGATTAATCGACTAATCGACCAATCGACCAATCGACCAACCGACCAATCGATTAATCGACTAATCGATTAATCGACCAATCGATTAATCGACTAATCATTTGGTTAATCGCGGTTTGCAAAATTATGTAAATTTTGCAGATCAAAATAAATAAATAAATAAATAAATCGATTATGATTAACGATTAGTGGTTTCCGATTTCTAATTTTTTTCATATATTTTTTTAAACTTCAGATTATTGCAGTTTGTATAATTTTGTGACCCCCTATGATTTCAGAATTAATTTTTTTAATGATTAAATGATTGTGATTACGATCACGATTGCTAAAGCCGACCAATTTATCATAAATCCAAGTTTGTGTCAAACTCAGATTTATGATAAATTGGCCGGCTTTAGCAATCGCGATCACAATCACAATCATTTAATCATTAAAAAAAAGTAATCCTGTAATCATAGGGGGTCACAAAATTATGCAAACCGCAATAAACTTGAATATTATGTAAATTTTTATAAAGGACGTAATAAACTCTAATTTTAACTTGTTAATATTAACAAGTTAAAATTAGAGTTTATTATGTCTTTACAAAATTTTACATAATATTCAAGTTTAATCTGAAGTTTAAAAAAAAATATATGAAAAAAAATTAGAAATCGGAAACCACTAATCGTTAATCATAATCGATTTATTTTTTTTTTTGATCTGCAAAATTTTGCAAACCAATAATATATTTATCGTTATTAAAAAAAAATCGTTTTTTTTTTTTTTTGCAATCAAACTAGCCAATTAGTCAATACTAAATGACTATATAGTTAATTAATCGATTAAGTTGGATTTGAAAATTCCAATCGATTAGTTGATAACTTTACGATTAATCGATTAATTCGATTGTCGATTTGTATCACTAGATTGAATATTGCATTAATAAGATTGGGTTTATCAATAATAAATATCGCTTTTACTCCACCTTATATGTATCTACCTATTCTTTACGTATGTGAGATTAATTAATTCTTTGATATATGAATGAATTTATAATCTTTTTTTACGTAAAGTTTTTCGTTTCTTAGTATATCATGTATAACGAACGAATCTTTGAAATTATGGAATTTGATTGGCTAATTATCACGGGTGATCACGGGTAGATCCATAAAAATTAACCAATTAGACGAATTTCTTGGTTTGAAATTTTTACGTTACACCAGATCCTAATTTTTAATTGGCCAATTGATATCGGAAATCATGTGAAAGGAAAATCGATCCTCCGCCCTGGTCAGGGGCGATGATTTTATGCCATTAATTATGCATGCAACAAAAGTAAATTATGCGTTTTTGATGTGCATATATTTTTTATAATTATGTGCGTATTCTGCATCCAAATTTATATTTATGCATGATTGTGCTACGTTTTGTGCCCTACGTAACACATAATTTTAGAACGGAAACAACCATTCGGAGTACTTCGGAACTTCATATTTTTTCTCGACCTTGCTCGGAATTTGCGTTGATTGATTTTCTATTCGGAGGAACTGTACTTAGAGACCAATTATGCAAAAAAAAATTTACTTAATAGCAACATACTTTATGCAGCATTATGCGGCAAATCTAACCTATTATGTATTATCGATTACATTATGCGGTTTTATGTGATTTGCATAAAATCATCGTCCCTGGCTCTGATGCTGTTCTCACAATTTTAATGTTTTGGAACATACAAATAAGTACGTACTGTATGTACGTACGTAGCGTACTCATAAATAACTATTACTGCTATATATCATTATTTAATCAGAATCGATAAGTTACCAACATCAGAAACTTATTGGATGCAGATATTAAGGTTTCTGCTATAGCGAAAGCATGCAGGAACTGCACCAAAAAAGATCATCTGCGCATATTTTGTCATCCCATTGAATTCAACGATAACGCAGCATTTAGATCGAATTCATGGTACACAGCATTAGAAATTATTAAGCCTTTTTACCATTGAATTCAATGATACGCAGCATTTAGGTTCAATGGTACCCAGCATTAGAAATTATTAAGCTTTTTTTTTTTACCATTGAATACAATGATACGCAGCATTTAGATCAAATTCAATTGTACGCAGCATTAGAAATTATTACCGTATAAATCCGAAATAACGCACAGGGACTTTATTATGGATTTTGGCCAGAATTAAGCTTGATTTAGGCCAAAATTTGAAATTACACCCCTGGGCGTTATTTCGGATTTATACGGTAAGCATTTTTTTTTTTACCATTGTATGCATCCCACAATCATTCATGTAAGAATATTATTAAACAAAAAAAGTAAAATCATTAAGATAGAAAAATATTTAAAGTATCAAATAAAATATCAGAGAAATAATTATTCAAATCAAAACAGATTCGTGAGAAATAATCATAACACGGCAACTTATATAATTAAAAAATCACATTTTAGAAATATGAGTCAAAATCCAAGTATAATTGAAAAACATCAAGAGGATTTGACAAATGATGCCAAAATTCGTGAATTTTGGATTAAGAATGTTTGCGATCACAATAAACATTCAAACATTAAAACTAAAGAAATTTATGACTTTATTATTGTGGGAGCTGGTACTGCGGGATGCGTACTCGCTAGAGAATTGATTTATTGCATTCCAAATATTAATATCCTAGTATTGGAAGCCGGAGGTCCTGATGTTTCTTCTAACGGTCTAGTTTACTTGCCATGTGCTTCCTTTAAGGTGATATCATTAAAGTCATCCTTGAATCGTGATAGTCATTATATTAATTAATCCATCAGTTGTCATCTTTACAATATAGAGTTTCGAAGTAAGGGACCATGATTGGGGATATATTACTCAAGAACAAAGAAAGTCAAGTTCTGTAGATCCTACTAAAGAATTGGTAATGGAAGGATTTTCTTACCCACGAGGAAAGATTTGGGGTGGAACTAGTTCCTTGAATACAATGGTTTACATGTAAGTTTCACAAAGTTGTAAATGTATTTTATTTATTTATTTACTATATTTTTCTAAGTTATATCTTCATTTTAGGCGTGGTCAAGCAAAAGAGTATAATGATTGGGCAGCCCAAGGTCCTGAATACAAAATTTGGGATTGGGATCATTGTCTAGAAGGTATGACGTTATTATTATTTAATTTGAATTACAGTAATTTTGGGTTTATTCATAAATATATATGCATATTGCTTTTAAAAGCGTTTAAAGCAGTAGAAAATAATTCACGAGAAAAACCAGATGAAACGTTCAAAAAATTTCATGGATTTAATGGTTTACTTCATGTACAAGATAGCCAAACCGGGATTTACGATGTTATGTCAGGCTTAATTGATGCTGCCAAAAACCTTGGTATTCCTCATAATGATGATTTTAATGGAGAGAGACAAAATGGTGTTGGAAAATTTCAGGTGCTTTAATAATAAACCTTTCTAGATTACATATTTACATTTTTTTTTTTTTATTTAACACATTGGTTAAATTATAGTTCACAATCAAAGACGGGAAAAGATGCTCTTTAGCAGATGGTTATCTACGAGATGCATTAAAGAAAGTCGAATTACATCCAGATTCAAAACCTAATGGTTTTGGAAAGGTTGTAGCAGTAAATGTTAGGTCATTTGCTCATGTATTAGATATTATTTGGGACGAAGAGAATAAAGAAGAAAATATTGCAATCGGTGTAAGATATTTTTGTAACGGTGTTATACGTGAGGCCTTTATTGCTCCAAAAGGAGAAGTTATTTTATGCGGTGGTGCTATTAATAGCCCTCAGGTAAAAATATAACAATCATTAACTGTTATAAAAATATATTACCATAAAATTTTACTAGCTTTTTTTTTTTTTCAAGATCTTAATGCTTTCTGGTATTGGGCCAAAAGAAAATCTTAAAGCAAATAATATAAAAGTTCGTAAAGAACTACCAGTTGGAAGAAATCTATTAGAACACCCGCTTTGTTGCATTGTTGCTAAATCGACTCCAAATGCAATCCATCATTGGAGTAATGGAGCTGAGGTTGGAATATTATTTAAAGCCAATGTTAAAGGAAATATTCCTTGTAAAGAGGACTTTTTTGACGAGAACCCAGATTTTCAAATTACTGGTATGTTTTGGTTATGATATAAAATTTCTGTAATTACATTCATTAATTGACTAATATTATATAAATAGCGACTCCGTGCGTAGATGGCTTTTTTGATCCCGCAATAGATCTTTTTAACAAGCATGATAAATTCCATGGCATCGCTCTAGTGTGCGGTCTTAACGTGCCTTCAAGTGTTGGTTATCTAGAACTTAACAGCAGTAATCCATTTGATCAACCAAGGATAAATTTAAATTATTTTGAAAAATCCGATGATTTATATAGAATGATCAGTTCACTTAAATTATGTCGTGAAATACTTAAACAACCTCCATTAAGCACTGTTTATGATGTTAAGGAAATTGGAATTAATGATGAGTTTGGACAATGGTGCACTAATGGAGATATGAGTGATGAAGATTGGGAAAGGTTTATTTTGAAAAAGGCACGTATTTAAAAAAACAAACCATTTTTTTTTTTATTAATAAATATCTTTTATGCAAAATCCTTATCTTTATTTGTGCTTAGGCGAGGTCGTTCCATCCGTGTGGAACTGTAAAAATGGCACCAGAAACCAAAGATGGAGTTGTTGATCATCGACTTCGTGTTTATGGTACGAAAAATCTTCGTGTTGTTGATGCTTCGATTTTTCCATATATTCCAAGAGGAAACACGAATGCCCCTACAGCTATGGTTGCTTGGAGAGCAAGTCGGTTAATTATTGAAGATTATAAGCTATCATAATCATGAATGTGTTCGGTCAAGAACTTGGACATTACAACTTATTAAATTTATTAAATAAAAATGGTTAACACCCAATTTTACATGTGATTATATATCTTTATATAATTTTTAACTATAAATTCTTTTGTCTTAAAGTTTTCGTTTTCTGTACTGTAATATTACGTGAACATTGTTTGATTGATTAGGAACCACGTGTAAATATACATATCTACAAATCGATCAAAAGAACAAGCCAATCCAACTAAATTTACAACGGCCGATATATTTAGATACGTTTATAACTTCTCTACGTGTTAACTTACACAAGATTTAAGGCGAAATTATACAAGACCGTGAGCGCATAGTTTAATTGATCCTTTTCTTATCCGGACTTTTACAACAGTTTTTTAAAAATGTTTCCGAGTTTAATACTACTTATATAAGTTTAAATGTTAATTTATGCTGTTTTCAAGTGCCTCTTAATGTAATTGCCTATTGATTGAGATATAACGTCAAACTCCACGATCAATCGATATAAAGATTATGATCGATACTTGAATATCCCTTTTTATCTTTTTTTATCTTTTTTTATCGATTACAATTATGGCTCCAAAAAAAAGATTACCCAATTATCTAAACCTTTAGCATCGAAGACTTTAACGTCTGAGATTTTGTCTAATGAAACTTTGCCTCCAGCCATATTCGGCAACACAACTATAAATGTGATTCTTTAATATTATATGAAACGACATCGAAATATAATGAAGCAACGAAATAATTATTTTAATAAAATATAAGCTCTTCGCTGAATTTGCATTCTTACACTGAGCAAAGAAAAAATAGATGAAATTATTACCTATATTCATTGTAAAATAACTTAAAAGCTAGAAGGTGGTGTTTGTTTTTTGAATATTTCGAATGTCTTTTATTCGCTATAATAGTTTTTAGCATGAAGCGGCATTGTTTGTAACGACGGCAGTCTTATTGAAGATTCATATTGCGAAAAAAATAAAATAAAATAAGATAGCGATAGTGACTCGTGAATTAAACTCTGAAGAGTGTTTGAATCATTCGATCATCAATTCGACTTGAAAGTTTTGTAAAATGTGAATTACAAAAGCAAATACCTTCAAATAGCGAGTTACGCAAACAAATTACATATTGTAAAAGCAATTATCACAAATTACAAGTTATGAAAGCAAGTAGAACATTAATTATTCGTCAACTGTGAATAGAAATTAGGTGAGTAGAGAAACCGCAGAATACGTAATTATTCACATTATGTGCGTCGAGAATTTTTCGATTTTTCGCCAAGAGGTCAGTGTTCTTACCGTTTATTATTTTAATAGTAACTTCAACAATGGGTAATTTTAGTAGCGGGCATACTTGTGATTTTAGCTAAAATTAGAATCAAGGAGTTTGAGAAAATGGATTCCCGATTGGTAATACTTTTTTTCAATCATAATTAAGCATAACTATTAATAACTTATTTATTATTTAAGCGAACTTTGAACGATGTTGATCATATTTCAGCAGTAGATAATTCATGTTTCAATAGTAACTGAGTTTATGATTTCAACAGTGACAGTTTCATCATTTTAATTGTCGGGATTTTGACCCAAATCCAAGAAGTTTGACGGCGGATTCACAATTTCAATAGATAGGTATTTGTTATTGCAATGTATGTTTTATCACATGTTATTTGGCATAGTTAACTTCTTCGGAGCTCAAGTTTTCAAATTTGTTTTTTCGAAAAAATATCATTCCTATGAAGTTAACTGGAAATTTCTATAAGTCTGATTGATTTAGTCGGAAATTATAAATAAAAAATGGATAAAATATTATACTATTGATCCTTTGTTTCTTTTGTATAGTAAAACATAATATAATGAAAAAAGAAAAGACCTTTACTCGCAGATTTAATCTCGCTTGCACACAAAGTAATTCGCTGAGATTAACTTTAACGAATACTGTTGGGCAAACTGACGAGCCTTGAAATTATTTCTCTTTACTTTGTCTAACCGTGGATAGTCGATATGTGGAATTTGCTGACGATATAACAAAATTACATATCTTTTGAAAATTTAAAATTATTTTATAAACATTAATGAGAATTTATCTAGTTATCAATATTGAAACTACATAATTATAAAACATACCGATGTTCACCAGTTCCCGAAGGTGGACTCGGTCCATAATAATCATCAAGGTGCGTTGCTTCGGACAAATTTCCATCAGCTGTTTAAGAATTGATATTTAACAAATATAATAATCTATAGGATATTTAGAATATTTAAAATGCAACAGAATGATTACATGGAATGTTTCCAATGACCCAATGACGCCATTCTCTATGAGTTGGATTTTCACGACTTGGTGCATCAGGATCAACCTATGAAGGAAACTTTTTATATGGCAAAGAAGATGTAACTGGTAATGAATTTTCACAGAAACGATTTTACCATCATCAATGTAAATCGAGATTTATTATCGGAATCAGGTCCATTAAACACAAAGCTAACGTCCGGAGCTTTATTTGTTTCTGTTAGACCGATAATTCAATTAGGAAACCCGATACCAACAGAGTCATAACAATTATAGCGTTATTTTTTTCATACCATCAATAGTGAATTTATTGCCAAGTTCTACTTTCTTTTCACCGTATTTTAAATCAAGCAGTGCCTCTGGTTCAAACTCATCCACGACTTTATCAATAAAAATTTACAAGTGTAGAATTTAATGAATTCTAAGAGTCGTAATTATAAGAGTCGGTAAACATACCATCTGGAATAATTCTAGCCTTTTTCAAAGATTCAATAATAGATTTAATTGCAGTAATAAGCATTTTTTTTTGTTTTTCAATCAAGTTTGTATTGATTAGTCTAGATGAAAATAAATCATAGTAATCGAATAACTTTTATATTCACTTTTAATTCGATTACATATTAATAACCGTATGTTTATTCAATATCAAAAGCGTGAGAAATATCAGTGAATGCTGCAGGAAAAAACCTGAATATGATTATTAAGGTGTTCAATCGTAATGAATTTTCCAGAAGAATTGCACCTAAAAAATCTCCGAAATTCAGACCCAATATCCAGATTGCAAATATTAATCGACTTTCAATAAAGGAACCCTTTTATAACGAACCTATTCTATAACGAACTTTTTTAAAAAATTTGTCAGTCGGTATAAAAACATAATAAATTAGAACTCAAAACTTTTATTATAAGAAGCATCAGTGTTTTCAAGGTGCAACCAGGTGCTCGCCATTATATCATGAAGTCATGCGATTTCCCACAATACCGTGGTGCACGCTTGATTACGCCTTTTTGAAACAGCTATACCGATAATAATGATGATATTGGGCATTTTGCAGTAGAAGGGGCCGATATTAGAATATATACGTATGATCGAGTTTGTTTAGCTTGGACTGATCCGGATTAAACAAAAATTCATGACTTGATTAAATTTTTTTTTTAACATTTAATATCAATTTTTTATTATGCAAATCATTTATAATTGAAAAATGTAGCCCGTGTCGAAATGATGTTTTGCACCACATTGTAGCAGTTTGCAAAAAGGCGTGACCCTGTGATATTCATGGTGATGATAGTGGCGATTTTAAATAAAGAATTCAAATTTAGAATCAATGTAAACTAGGAAAACTGGTTCCGGAGCGCCGCTTTGTATTTGCAAACAAATCTTATTATTTAATAAAAATTCTTATAGTGTAAGCGTATAACAATTATATACCTATCTTTATATATCTGTCCAATGAAAGCTAAAGGCTTTAACACTATAAAATCGATTCTTAGATGCACTTTAACCACTTTAACACTATGAATTAGGTTAAGATGATGTAATTCATCAGGAATTTTGAAGCCTGAGTATGATCGGTTGCAAACAATTAATTGATTATAATCGATTGGCTTCAATCGATTATATTCGACGGTGGTGTTGATAATCGATTCATATCAAAATTGATAATAACGATAATCGATATATATCAATTGATTATAATCGATAGTAATGATTTATTTCTATATATATCGGTTATAATCGAATCGATTTTAGTCGACGGTGATGAGAATCGTTTAAAATCCTTAGATTTTAATCGATTATAATCCTATCGTTATTTTAAATTTCTTGATGATATATAATTTACATAAAAAAATTGTTCTCACTTATTAGATCACAAAATTTAAGTAGTTCTCATTACATCTACATTTCAAATCAGCTTATAAGACGCTATAAAAAAATACATAAACATTTAATTTAAAAAAAGTACTCATAAAACTTCTAAAACTGATCTGTCCGGATTCTGAGAATAAATTAATTAAATTTAAATGCCCATATTAAATGCGAAATTAATTAAAAATCATGCTTATATCTATAAGTCACTTTTCTTCAAGTATTCGTTCTTGTATCCTTGAACTTTTTTTATACGTTGAAGTTTCTCAAAGGTAGAGTACTCAAAATTTTGATTTATTACTGCACTAAACTCATATATGGCATTTATTTCTATAATTAAACCACTATCGCGAATTTATTTTATTAGAATTTGCACTCAGAAAATGTGTACCAGGTTGGGATCGGATGATCGTTCGGATGATAGTCCGGATTATGGTCCGGAAATTAAGTCTTCGACTATTTTTTTCTAACGATATGACTTTATTTTTCACGGTCATATAAAGCAATATTGACGCAATTTACAATGCATGTACAACACATAGAAATAATACAAATAACTTGAAGTTTGACATTCTAAAACTATAAATCTAGTTAGTTGATTCTATTTAATCATTTGACTTTAGTTTATTTGTTTAGCCATTTGGTTGGTTTTTTGTGACGTTCTTCAATAAATTATGTACAGTCGACTCTGGATATAATGAGCTCAAAATTTTGGACTTTCATAATAGTTC